GCTAACTCGCGGTGTAATACAGCAATCCTGCAGTTTCTCTGTCTGTAGCATTCCACAAATTAAAAAGCCACTGCGTATGCACATTCGAAGTTCTATTTATTAGCATATATGCAACGTAAGCAATGTACTGTCGAACCGAAAAAACAACACTGAAACAGTTAGCTTTACTGCCAAAATTCAAGCCAGGATACGTTGCTTAACTTTCGTGTGCTCAGTATAATGTTTGAGCCAGCTGTCCCTTTCCTTCCAATATAACATTATATTCGTATTGCACGGTCTATTAAAAAAGTAGGAAAAGTTCCGCTTCAACCTCATATTCAATCAGTTCCTTCTCACCCTTCATATACTCTCATCCGGATTCCGTTACGTCTTCAGCGGTAGTCTGAATACTCAAATATCATACCAGTACATTCAGCAACCTTTAATGTGCTGATAAGAAATAATTGAATTTTTGATTATTTGCTTCATGAACTGAAGCAGGAACTCGTAAAGTAGCCTGGAGCGCCCAATGAAAGACTGAGCTGGAGACCCCATCTCTGCATGTTATTTTCAGTGTCATTAGACAATAGCGTAACATTGTGTCGCTGTCTATCGAGTCTAGATTAGCTCATATAATTGGGTTGAGGTTGGTTCAATAAATTTCTTGTCGATAGCAGCAGTTGAGCATCCTAAATCAAACCAAAGATGAAATGAACATTGTTTTATTTAACAATCTACGCTTCAGCAGTCATTCTGCATGTTTTGACACAGTCATAAGACAAGCAGCCTATTAATGACAGCTCAGAATCATTGACCCAAATGCTTGTATATGCACTCTGATATATTACGCCACTGGAACTAGTCGGGTTGAGCAAGCCTACTAAACAGATCGAGGAGTCGAATTAGCGTTCTCGTCATCTTGTGGATGATGTTAGTACCCCTAACTTAGAGAAGATGTCTTCAGACCACGATCAGGGTAAGTTATGATCGATCTCGGTACGGTTCTTCGTAACGATCATCAGTTTATGCAATACGTTTAGATTAGATGGGTCATCTTGGCATAATGCTCTATCAGATAGCAAACTGTTGTACGTGTCTCACCGACTGCCGACAGTGCATGCAGCAAAGCCACCGATTCTTTAGCGGTACCATATCGTAATAAAACGAAACTGGGCCCACATTGAGTGTGCACATTCGCACATTTTAAAACAGATCTGCAACGTTGTCAATGCATTGTCAAACCGAAACAGCAGCACGATCGAGCACAATTGGCTTTACGGCTACAATACAATACAATACAATTGCGTGTATACCGTCTGTGTAGTGATGTAAATCGGGAACTTCATGCATTGAAAGCGTCCCAAAATTAAGAATGGGTTACATGCCTTTCTTCGAAACTCAAGTAAGCTGCTTTTTTATGTGATAAAACAACCCAAGTCTCAAACATGACGACTTTTAAATCCATAAACATGGATTGGGAAAAATCCCAGGTCAGCTCCATCAGACTAAATTCTTACCACTTCCGCTCTTTCCTTTCATAACCGACAGCCAAAAATCTGTCAAATTTCTCCCATCAGTTGACTACGTCCCATCATCTTATACAAAACAATTATAAAATCACTCGGGATAATAACTTAAGACAATTTTATTTCAAGTTGTTGCACAGAATACTAGTCACCAATAAAGAACTTAATCGATTTGGAATAACTGACTGTGTCAAATGTGTTCTG